TGTGTGTGTGTGTGTGTGTGTGTGTGTGTGTGTGTGTGTGTGTGTGTGGGTGCGAGAGAGGGAGAGATCTCATGACTGCACTCTGGAGTCTGAAAGACTCGTCCCGTGTGCGAGATACACTTCAACCAGTCACACAGACGCAATTCAAAAGCTTCCATCTGTTAACAAGTTCTGGCGATATGAGCAAGTGATACCTCATGTAAGGGTACCCATTATTATATGCTAAGAAGCAACTGCAAAATGCCCTTAAAGCATCACTACCTCGAAGCCATTTGCTGTACTTCGAAATTGGTCAGGATCATAACAGAGGGGTGGAAGTCAATAAGGGAGTACCAACAGAGAATCCCACAGGCACAATGTAAACTGAAGCGGACTATCACCCACTATACAAAACCCAAAAGCTGGCAAATTGATTTAGGAGTAGTAGGTAGATAGATAGTGAAAGGTGAAATTGAGAGTAGAATATATTTAGAAACAAGGGTCAAAAGTCATTTGGGCTTGAGCTTTAATTATGTTATCTTTAACTCTTGCAATATCCTTTTCATACAAAACTGCAAATTTTGTTGTTCCTAGGGGTAGCCGTTGGACTTGGTCCCTTGTCAGGGCGTCTATAGAGCGTCTAGCCTGCCAATCCTTATGCAGTGCATTAGGTGGTCTATCGGTAATAGTGTGTACACTGCTGTTGTATGCACTTGCAATCTTAGGTAAGTTCTTGTCCCATTCAATCTGATTTGGGCTTATATGCATGCGCAGAAGTTGTTCAGTCTGTCCATTTGTCTCGGGGTACCTTCGTGAAGACATTGTTAGTCTGGCTTCATAAACTTTTGTTAACTTTTGTCATTGTTGCCCGATGAACCAAACACCTCTATTAGATACAATGGTTTTCGGGAATCCCTATTCAGAAACCCATCGTATGTAAAACTTATGAATGACTAGTGTGGCTCTAGCTTCAGCAGGTAAAAGAATGAACATAGGATTCTTAGAGAACTGATCGACATGCCAGCACTTGGTTGTGTCGTTCCTATTATTGGTGAGGCTTGTAAAATCGATGGAAATTGACTCACCTGGTCCATCGGGAATAGGAAGCGGTCTAGGTCCCAAGGATTCTTATGAGATGACTTGTTCCTTTGGCATACAAGACAAGTCCTTACATATGTTACTACATCATTTGTATTTCCTTGCCATTCGAACTGCTCACCACTATCAACAACGGTCGTCATTCTGCCCGTCCCCCGATTTGATTTCAGTAT